ACACATTTTGTAGTGTAATTTTAGGACTTGTTGGAAAAACTACATGTTGGACCTTGGCCAATTGCTTGTCTTCTATTGATTTTAGTTTTTTTTTTAGTTTAGTTTTAGTGATCAAGATGTTCAAGTTATGCAAGTCAATTTGTCAGGGCTACAACAAAATTGTTTCACCCAATACCTTAGTACCTTACCTTAGTGTAGCTATTGATAATACCGTGACAGTTAATTTTAGGGAACAATCCTTGTCGTACCATTTTGAAAAAAAATCAACAGTGTAATCCTTGGAAACCTCCCCACCCCTACCCTATCCCTTGACCTCATTCGACCAGGGCGCACCCTACCTCACAAATCCTGATTTATCTTTACTCAACATTCCGTACTCGTCAGTTACGGACGATTGGTCAGGACCAGGAAAAGATCAATCTGTATAATGGTCTCAGTAAACACATCCTTAAGCTTGTGAATCAAACTCGATCGGCTTTAGTTTCAATGTAATCCCGATAGCAGAACAATGTGTTATGTCCAGTTAAAGTACTAAACGTGCTAAAACCAACAACATGATCCTTAAAGCCATTAAAACTCATATTTAAGTACCTCTGTAATTGTGACTCAGAGCAGTTTACATGCTGCTGTAGACAATATGTCACTTACGCTGAAGAATTACGTCGTTAACCTCTTAATGATGCATTTCTGTCTGGAAGAAACATGAACCGTCAGGCATTAGAGAAGAGCCTCTCTTAACAACACAAAACAAGTTCCATTTACTAATCTGAAGGAGAAATTAGACATACATATAATCCGCTAACAATGCACTGGTAATATTGCTGGGATGGACCGAGTGCTTTTATCACCGTCCAAATGTTTTCACATCATTTTTGAGTGCTCTTCCATCTCTATATGCCCTTTGTAATTATGTAAGTGAGTGTTTGCGTGTGTTTGTGTCTGCACATGTAAGTGTTTATCTGTGTCTACACTCAGTTTTTGTCTAAGTGTGTGTTTGTGGCAGTTTGGAGTTCATTGTCAACGTCGTCTGGTCGTATTTCCTTATTTTTTATCCCTCTGTTTTCTCTCTCATACATGTTGCTGGGAAAAGACAAAACAAAGGATGACAGTTAGGAATGATAAAAAAGTACTCATTGAAGTCCAAAAATGTGGTTACTCAGTTTTGGGTTCCTTTTGGGTCCAAAAATAGGATATACAATGGAACAATACTTTTAAAACACTGAGTGTGGGTGAAGATAATACTTAAAGGCGGGGTAAGTAAGTTTGAGAAACCGGCTTGAGATACACTTTTTGTTATATTCCATGGAATGCTCTTAACATCCCGATAGCGATGAATATCTTACAGTAAGTGCTTTGACAAAAAATCCATAAAAAAATGTCATCTGTGGAAGCCGTAGCGCTGTAAAAAGCACGGATGGCCTACTTGCCTGTCAGCTTTCCATCTGTGTACAAACTTATCTCGTGCCCTCATTGCTCATGTACGTGTTCGTGTGTGTTGGAGGAGGGGCTCTGTAAGAAAGTGGTCGATTTCTTTCAGTTGTGTATTTTCAAATTCTAGCGCACTCGAGCTGGTTTCTCCAAAATTACCTACCCCACCTTTAAGTGTTATTGCATTTGTGTTCGTATCAAGGGTTTCTGCTTCGTATCCATTGATTTATGTAATTTATCAATTTTCCTTGTTTGTGTCCCTCTTACAAAATGACATTAATATCAATTAATTCCAGTTTGGCTATTTGATATTTTAGAGCTACTTTTTTGGTGGTTTCTCTCATTTTAAGCATGCCTATAGTGTTAACTTAAGGGGTGTTGCCTATGCTAATAATCAACAACCGCCTGCCTCCCATTTATGATCAAGTACATAAAGGTAGATTTCAATGGTTTAAAATGCTGTTATGCACCCATTCATGTTTTGCTTCTGTCTAACCCCTGACTTTTTTAAAGTCCTGGATAGTGTAAAAATGTAGTTTTCCCTAAATTGCGATCTTTCCAGGTCTGGCCTTTATTTATTTTTCGCTGACTTTCCATTTCTCCACTCTCCTTCATGTGACAAGACAAATGGATTGACTTCGACCAACATATGTATTTGTTTCTTCCGTAAACGAAAACTCAGTTTTACCCTTTGTGGCAGAAACACTGCTCTTTGTGGCCTCGGTGAACCACACCACATATTTTTGGGCAGAGTAAAGCAGCAGCTTTGAGATGAAGGGTGTAACGCGAGCAACCATACACCCCTGGCTTTAGAGAGGAAATGAAAGAATCCAAGGGTTAAACCTCTCGGTTCATAACTTCACACATAGACAAAGTTTCTTCCTCTCAGGCAGGGCGAACATCCTGTAAATATGCATGTTTCACAATCCATTTAAAACACAACAGAACCAATGTTGAAGAAGAGGCTTGTTGGGAATGTAGACATGTATTTAGTTGCTATACTGTATTGTTATGGTTATTGTTTCTCTTGGACAAGAATAAGGGTTGTGGTTGGGTTGGGTTCCAAGACTATATCATGTTTCCATCATCACTATCGCAAGTGTTTCTAAAAGGCAGGAAACATGGTTCAATAATACACCCATAATGTTGGTTTCGGTGATGTTTTTTTGTGCTGAGTCTTTTCCTGTTGATGTTTCAATAAGAGACAACTATCTCAGACAGTTTCTCCACTGGACTGCAAACCGTTTGAGGAATTTATCTAACTCTGGAGAGAATGGCTGCATAGCTGGGAAGTGAGGTCAAGCCTTCGCTGCAGCTGCCGCCTGCGAAACACTAACAGATAGCAGGCATGCCTGTCAATATTGTGTCTCACGCTCTCCCACTTTCTGTCTCCACTTCACTTATTTCCCATCAAGACTTTTTTTTTTTACTGTCTCAAGAGTGTAATGTCCTACAGTTGTCTTATGGTTGTGACAAATAGCATCTGTTGACTGACTTCGCAATACTTAACCTGGACATTCATTACTAATGAATCAGTGACCCCCTTCGACTCTGCTTACACACTTCAACCACTCGGATGAATGATGATGGGTTGTACTTCCCAAATGAGGTTAGAAGGTTGTAGATGTGGGGATGGAGTACTGGAGATCTGGTTGCAAAAATGAGGTAGAGGTCAATCATTTATTTCTGTAGATGTTGCACATTAAGAGAGAGAAACATTTAGGGTGATGAACGATCATGTAAACCGTAAGTGTTTTGAGGAGGAAAGCACTGGCAAATTATGTTTACGGCGCCACATTAGAAAGAGCTCATGATAACTGCCTATTTAGTTTGACTCATTGGACATATTTCAAATGTACTTCTGACATTGGGCTTTTATTTTGAAAGGTTCTTGGTAATCCCGGTCTTTGGAGCCCTAAAAGTTACAGATACTTATTAAGCTACAGTCATAGTATACTGTATATACATTATGTAACAGTCAAAGTATGCAGTATTATATTAAATGAGAATACGACTTGTCAAAATTGCACTAAAATATTGGAAAATATATATTAGTGACATAATTGAATTCCTCGCGATAAATCATACATAATTTTTCCTCGCATCAGATTGTAAAAAATGAACACCAGGACTTTTATTTTCTTTTTACTTTAGTTGTTTCTTACTTTATTATATCAAAAGATAAAAGAATAATATGTATTTACAATGAGTTTAAATTATTCATATCTCACTGGTTAGTAATGCATTTAGGTATATTTATAAAAGGAAATACCGTCCTTTTTAGTGGTATTTTTGCACCCACAATAACAAGGTATTTGAAATCACTGTACATTAACAGAACTTTGTACTCAAAACGTATTGTTAAAAGTTGTATATGTGGTTGTAGAGTGATATGGGTGTTGTTGTTTTGTTCTGTAGACTGATGGTGTGGTTGTTAAGTGATGGTGATGTGGTTTCAGAGTGTTTATTTTGTTTTAAATAATCAACTGTGTCCTCATCTGCACCATACTGTATAGGGATGTGTTGTTGTAAACATTTCTTTCAGTGCCAAATAAACTTTCTGCATTCTAACTTTTTGGGAGTTCATTAGAGGGAGAGGAAATACAAGTCGTTATCAGCTTGATTCAAACATGCCGCATGATGAGTCGTACATTCTAAGGCGACACTAAAAATACATGCCATTTTGATTAAGTCATCAGTGCTCGGGTTTATTTCTCTGGCAGTGAGTCATAATTCAAATAAGACATCCAGACATTAGAATAGATAAGAACTTAAGCTTAATGACTGATGAGTAATAGTAACTCACGTGAGAAGCAAAGCCATGACACATAACAGGGGCCAAACCGGCTAAATATACAATCATCTGTCTTGTATGTGCCACTTAAAGGCTTGAGTTATTAATTTGGATGACTTGCACATTTCTATTAAAGGGAAACCAGGGCTTTTTAAAAATAAAAATAAATATTAATGCAATGAGGGCAGAATTATGAGGATTTTTTAGCATATTTTATTATCTTTTATAAATAAAGAGATATTGAAGTGCATTATTGATTTTTTATATTTAAAAACACAAACTGAACAAAAAAAGATTTAGACTGTTTTATTGAACATTTGGTGTATTGAACTAAACACAAAAGACATCAGACTTGCCCCCACTTTGCCTGTTTAAAGATACTTGTTCTCCCGTGCTTTTGCAGACCACGTATAAGACGTATCAGTCTATGTTTTCTAAATTGGGGTTTTCTAAATTGGGGTTTTCTATAGTCTTGTGTTTTTACATCATGTATGAGGGTTTTCAGTCTGTGTCTTTAAGTATGGTGTTATTGTCTCGTGCTTTTACATTAGTTTCCTTTTGTCCTATCGGTTTTGTCTAAATGTATTTATGCTGTTATTTTATATATTTATTGATGTACAGCACTTTGGTCAACTCTGTTGTTTTTAAATGTGCTATATAAATAAAGTTGGATTGGATTGGACATGAATGAAAGAAAAATATAGGGATTGTTGTAAACATTGAATCATATCCGAGTACCAATTTCAACCCCTTTCTCCTTTGCTTCATGTCTCCTCAGGTGCGTTCATTGTCTGTTGGACCCCCGGCCTCGTCATCCTCCTCCTCGACGTCTTCTGCGCCAACTGCAACGTCCTCACCTACGAGAAGTTCTTCCTGCTTCTCGCTGAGTTCAACTCGGCCATGAACCCCATCATCTACTCGTACCGCGACAAGGAGATGAGCGCCACCTTCAGGCAGATCCTGTGCTGTCAGCGGCCGGAGAACGTCAACGGCACGGTAGCTGAGGGGTCCGACCGCTCAGCGTCGTCCGTTAACCACACGGTGCTGACCGGCAGTTCGCACCCCCACCATCACCACCGAAACCACAAAAACGAACACTCGGTGGTATAAAGAAAGGCTGGAGATGGCGGAGATTAGTCAAAGGGGTTCATCTCCAATTGAAAAACTGACTGAAAGAAGGTAAAGGGCAGCATGGGAAGGTCTAGAGGGACTTCGTATGAACTTAAGACGGTGACGTGATACGTGTAGGAGGAGTGGAGTTAATGAAGATTTGGATGATGTCACAATGAATAAAAAAGGCAATTACGAAGAAAGAAGATAAGACTTTAATGCTGTGTGGAGGAAGAAAAGTGTGGGGTCTGTTAGTATTTTTGTTTAGCTGTTATTTTCTATTTGTTTTAAGTGTGATAAGGACAACGCTGATATGAACTATTTAAAATTAATCTGTGAAATGAAGGTAATGCCAGTAATATAGTCTTCTCTAACTGTGTATCCTGTGGCCTTATGTTTTAGACTTTATTTCTCCCCCTTGATCCCCATTTTTCATTTCCATTCGACATGTTCCGTACAAACAGCATGACACTGCCGTCAGAGTTTCCTTCACATCCTTTTACGGATTCAGTTTGAGTCTGAACCAAGATTTAAAACGCTATTTTTCTTTTTCTTTTATGTTTGGGAGAAAGCATTTGAAATCTTGGAAAATTCATACAAACAAATTCAGTTTTGTGAACATCACGTTCAACTGAACATTTATTTTGGCTATCTCCAGCAGCTTCACCTTTTTTTTTTTTTTTTCTTTGGAACTTTAAGGTTGGTTTCTTGATACATTTCCATAAAAGGAAAGTGAAAACAATTTTGGCACACCCTGCTGATTCTGCAAAAAAATAAATATCAATACTCATATGGTCAACAGGTTTAGCAATTTAGAAAAAGCACTAATGAAGGATTGTTTACAGAGCCACTATTCATTTCCACAACAGATTCATCACTTTTCTAATGAAATTGACCTTACAACCTTACTTACTTACTTACTTTGAGGACTTACAATTCTACTGATCTTCTTTTCTTACTAATGCTTTGGTGAATTAAGTTCCTTCCTTTGTTCCAACTTAAATAAACAAGGGGTCCAAAATCTGTCGTTTATTCCGTCTAAGGAGTTGGAGACAAGTTGTTCCAGGGATCTAACCAAAAAAGGGGAGGAGGATGTTTGTGGTTTTTAGAACAGTGTTATGTGGATACAAGGTGAAGGTCATTTCTGGTGAGCGTTAACAGACTTCAGATCATGACATGAAATGTGCTGAGCTGTCTGCCTCAAATGGTTTTATCAAGGGTCTCTGTGTCCAGGCTGACTGAGGAATAAGGTTGGGAGGTGGGGGGGGTAAGAGAATGTTGAAGTAGAAGCAGTGTTTATTTGTAATTGCCCTCTGGTGGCATGGGAAGGATCTATAATATTTCTGAAAACTAGAACTCAACATTGTTAAAGGTGACAATATGGGTCATTCCATCTTTATAGCATGAACTGGAAGTTGATGAATGCTTGCTAAAATTGTTAGTTGTTATCAATGTTGCCACCAATTATGCATAGTAACCAATTTGACTGAAAACACTAACCTCCAAATGTCATGGCATTCCATATTTTAGTTACATTTCAGTCTTTCGTCAGAGTTCACCTTTAGCATCAATCAGAGAGAGACTCAAGAAGTTCATTTCGAATATGTAAGCATGAAAATATCTTTCCTATTAACCAGAAACTCAATGTCACAAATATCTTGCTGAAACAGTGTTATCGGTGATATGAAGTAATACAGATGTCCCTCTATAATATTTGATGTTCTATTTATGTCATTATGAGATGCTTGAGAAATTCACCATGTTTTATTGTTAACCAGTCTCTATTGTCAAATGCTGAGATGTTTATCATCGTTGTCCCTCTGCATGGCATCTAAAGGGACACATCATGTATTTAAATCTTATTGGGTAATCAAGTTGGCACATATTATAGATTGGATTTTGTACTTGTCTTGTTTACCTTCACAACTTAATGAAATGTTAACCCTCTCAAGACATTAAGCATTTTACGCAGTCCATTTGTAAGGGGTACAAACAACAATAAGGTATGCCAGTTTTTTCTTAGGGCCAATGCAGAGTTGAATGGGGATATCTCATTACAGTCTGGTGATGCTATGACGTACATTGTTAAAAATCACTAGCTGAATGTTTTGCTGTGCGCATTTTGACCCGAAATACACAGATGAAGCTCCAAACAACCTGACAGAAAAGTGAGCATCACAGCCAAAAACAGTCAACTCTTTTCCAAGAAGCAAGATGTTTGTCAGGGATTCTTCAGCTGCATTGCTTAAGTTAAGTCAGCTGGTAGTTTTGCCTTTCAAAGCTGGCCAAAATACTTTCCTTTTTTAATGAGTTCTTCATCCAGAGTTTTGATTGTATTTTTGTTCAGGGTATCCTGGATGCTAAGAGTGTGAAGTGGATTCCTTTGGTTCTTTCTCCTTGTAAATATTTGTTTTAGTGTTTTTCGCCATACTAAACACTCTTAGACGTTTACTTATCGGACAATTCAACTTAATTCCTTAAGATATGCCTTTGAGTTGGCCCATCCTTAACTTCACAACAGGCCTCACAAGAGTATTGGCAGTGTAGCAGTGCCACTAATTGCCAATCTACGGCTCTTAAACCAACCCGTTTTTACAACAAATTCAGGTTATATAGCTAACCAATAAAACCTTCTTTCTATTTACTTGTTTACCAGTGTGTCGCTATTTTCACACCTTTGTAAGTATATGTGTACAGTATGTATGTATATAAAATGTATTATCCAGAGTTAATCACCAAAGGGAAAGTGTTTTTCTGTTTGTAAATTTAAGTGTGTTATAATCTGTCCAAATGTACTGTAGGATTTTGTTTTTTATGTCATGAATTATTTTTGTTTTTATTGTGACCCTTATTAATGCATTTCCTGTAGAAACTATTACAATTATTAACATGTTTGTGACCCAGAAACAGGGATATCAATGTGTGCAGTGCCTTCAAGTCGTCCTAAGAGTAACCAAACACCAAAGGAGCCTTTTACCGCCCTCTCTGGTTGAAAGTAGTTGTTGTACCTGTAACCACGCCCAACAATGATGTCATCATAGTGTCCCAGAGTGCACTTGAAAAAACAAATGGAAATCATTGTATGTTTGTGTTGCTAAAACTTTAGTTATACAATTGCCTTAAAGTACACCAAATATAAATGGTTAGAACGATATTTCACTTTTTCCGAAAGCAAATAACAAAATACAGCCTACATTTTTATTATGAAAAAGAAGGATTTCATAAATGTATGAAACTTGTTCCAAATGAAAATATTAGATTTGCATTTTAAATTGTTCATGGGGACACTAATTGAGGTTTTAATGTAATGTATCTATTTAGTCTTTTCGGTTAACAAGCAGGTGTTATCATGATTCCAAATATTGTTCATCCCAAAGTGTTGAATGATTTAGATTTTGCTTCCTAACTGTAGGTCTGAAATATTTGTGTTGAAAATTTGCCAAGATTAAAAAAACAAAACATGTACCAGTAGTTTGTACAAAGTAATCCTGACACAGACGTTAATGTAATTTCCATACTATCCATACTGTACGGGCCACTATCAATGAATGTCCAAAGTCATAGTGTTATCACAGCAACAATAAAAACATGAGAAATGTTGATGTGGTGGTGTTTTCTATTGTGAAATAAGGCCTTTCTGAACGTGTGGATCTTACTTCAACTTACATCAGTGATTGTCAACTGTTGACCCCGTGCGCCAAAGCTTCCCATTTGGGGTCACAGGATATTAATGAATTAAAGAAATGTGACTCTCTCCAGGTGCTGCTCTTAGGATAATCTATTATTGAGCAGTTTTGGGAGTTTGGGAAGTTCTTCTGTACCATCTGTTGCAGCGGTTGCAATGAAGTATGCTAATCGGCTAGCCTGGTCAGTGAACCTTATTTGGCATTGATTTTTTTCAAACTGTAGGTTGATGTTGTTCAACTCTAGTTTGATACATTTTTTAATACACTTTAAACATTTAGATTGTGACCGCATCATCCAAAGGTGACTATTAAAAGAGTATACGAAAAACAAACTGGACAGCGATTCCTCACTGCTAATAATTTAAAGGACACCTATCATGCTATATTTAAATGATATATTGTAGGGCCATACCTATATAAGGTATATTAATACGTTTCTGTTTTCAAAATACCAAACAGATCATGCATTTTAGCCTTGCCTCATTTCGCTCTATTTGCTGTTCTCCAGCCCTGTTTTTGCAGGGGGCTGATTCTGTGAGCTGCAGCTGACCACGCCCCCCTGCAGGAGAGGGGAGCGTGCTCTGAGATCTGCTGCTAGGCTGCAGCGGGGAGAAGAGGGGGACAAAAAGAGATCTCTGTCCTCCGTGTTTTATTCTTATATATGATTATATAGAGTCGTTATTCATTTGTTTTAAAGCTCAATAAATAACAAAGAAGACCTTTGACCAGCACTTTTCTAATTTTTTCCGGAAGATTTAAACTTTAACAGACATCTTGACCGGCGAAAGAAAACCCAACTGAAACTCTGCCGCACGGTCCCCTCGTTCCTTGGAAGAGGCGGAGAGGTGGGTGTTTGTCATCTGCTGGTGGACTAACCGGAGAGAATTACAGCGAGGGAGGGATTGTAATTAATAAATAACAGCAGCAGGAGCAAACGCTTGCCTCGGGGAGGGAGAAAAAGAGCCACAGCAGAGAATAAAGAGAAGGGCAACCATGGCAACCATGCTTGGGAAGTCTTCTTCGCTGCTTTTGTGGCAGACTACAGCGCCACTTACAGGCCTGGCATATGTACTACAGCGTCTCCAGCGCTTTCGAGTGGCAATGGCCGGCCGTGACCCAACCCCACATTCTCCTGATAGGTGGAGAGTTGGCCCAATAGCCGT